CCACGCCTGGACCGACCGCAGGATCGTCTTCTTTGGTACCGGGGCCTCGGAGAGGGTCCCGAAAACGCGTGCCTAAGAAAACATTTACTCCTAGTTAGTTTGTTATTGTATTCTTTGTGGACATTTTCTTTTTTTTTTTTTTTTTTTTTTGTATTGGATTTTCAGATATTTATTCTTGATGGTTTTGGGTACATATTTTGTGGTTCATTTTTTTTTTGTCGGTACTTATGGTTGTCTTTTTCTATATAGTGTTTCATATATGTATGCATGTTAGATTTTATCATTTGACGAATGAATTGATATTAAAATGATATTATTTCTTGTTCAAAATGTTAAATCAAAATTTATAAAAAATCTTAATATTGAAGGATAAGAATAAAAAATTCAGTCAAAATAAACGCAACGCGATCGCTGATAAACAAGTTCGTGAACATAATCGAACCTTAAAAAAATTAAAAAAAAATAAATAAATACATAAAAACGGATTCTAAGAATCCGTTTTTATAAAAAAATAAAAAAAATAAAATCAAATAATAAAAACGGATTATGAAAATCCGTGTTCGTAGTGAAAACGGATTTTCATAATCCGTTTTCTAAAAACGGATTTTACTAATCCTGTTTCATGAGAATTAATTAAGGTTAATCACTTAATTAAATTAATTAAAGAAAAACGGATTATCAAAATCCGTTTTTCTTTCAGGATTAAGTGAAAACGGATTCTGAAAATCCGTTTTTCTGTAAAACACGAATTTTCAGAATCCAGCTGTTTTACTTTTTTCCACATTTTTTATTTTTTTTATTGTTTTCCACATATTTTTGTTTTTTTTAGATAAATAAATGATTCCATGCTTAGAGCTTAGCTATTATTAGATTTTTCAAACAATTTGCACAGTGCATGCAAACCAGACAGGCTTATTTAAATTGTATTTATACACCTTATGTCTCAGCATTTTAGAATTGTATTTATATACCTTATGTGTTGTTACTTAGGCTGTTCAATGATTTATTTCATAAATTTAAACTTTTCCATTTAACTATATAATAATTTATATTTTAAATTAGTTAAACATTTTATAAACACCTAAACTTTAACGCTCGCTTTAATCGAAGGCGTGGATTATGCATCCATAACAATAAATCCTTCTATCCTTATTTTATTTTGATAGTTATCTAAATTAATGTTATAATACAACTTCTATGTAATATTAGTCATTCTACAACTATCTATCTATCTATATATAGAGAATAGATCATATGAAAATAAATCATAGGGAAAGAAATAAGAATAATTGTGAACCATTGGATCTATTTTATAAATGATTAAAATGAAGTCAAAGGTAATTAATTTCAGTCAATTTGGTAATGACATATATGTAATTACATGGTAAACATCGTTGAATTGTTTAACCCTGGAGGTAGTTATTTAATTATGGAAAATTCTACAAGTACATCATAATAAATATACATAGAGGTGTACATAAGGTCCACTTGATTTTTTATTTGAAAAATGCTACAAGTACATAATAAATGTACATAGAGGTGTACATAACACTCACATGGGGTGGGGTCCACTTGATTTTTTTATTTTTGGTAGGACCCACCTAATGTGAGTGTTATGTACACTATTATGTATTTATAGCATTTCTCTTTTTATTTTTGGTAGGTGCCACTCAATGAGTATTATGTACATGTCTATGAACAATATTATGTACCTATAGCATTTCTCTTTAATTATACTCCTCTCACCAACTCTCCACTTTCCACATCTCTCTCCCACACGATGTATTCTTATTTGCGAGTCTCTCCATGTCCAGATATCTCCCAACCGCCACCATCCACCACACCACCAATTTCACTTTAGTTATTTTTAAATTTACAACAAAAGTTATATATATTTATGTTGTAAATATTTATGAAGAGATTTATTCGTTTCTATCTCCACACCACGTCTATGTAGTGTCGTGATTTTTTTTATTTTAATTTTAATTTTTTTACTTTTTTGTGAGGACTTGTTGAAAATTAGACATATTAGGGGTGCTTTAGTGCAATTTTAGTGTGTATTGTGTTTGTATACTGTAGTGTTGTGATCTTTTTTTATTTTTTATTTTTGTGAGGAATTGTTGTTGAAAATTAGACATGTTATGGGGGCTTTCAGGGGCGGAGCTAGAATTTACAATATTCGGACTACAAGTATAACAAAATAATATGTATAAATATGATAAATCTAATAGTTATTTAAGGTTCCCAAGAATCTTATAACTTTTATTAGAATAACTTGATAAAGAAGAAAAATAAACAAAAAATGATATACAAAATTGGGATTTAGTAGGGGGTAAAAGTATAATTTGTAGGGAAAAAACTAGGATTTGAGGATGTGGAATTAGCGAAAATACTGTTGAGACCGAGTTTATTTTTCGCGAAGGATTTGAGCAAGCCGGGTTTGCTAAGGTATGGTAAAATCAAACGTTGTTATGTAATATGTGAGGAGGATGATGCCTCGAGTGTGGAGTTTTAGAGGCACAATATCGAGGAAAACCCGCCAGATGTCGTAATGTCCATAGCCGAGGATGGCCATATGGTCCTGCTTACGAGGCCTCAAGAGCTCTGCCATTGCTTGCTAGAGTTAGCTGATAAATATTAGTGTATTTGGTTGGTTCAAAATATCTTTCATGAAAAAAGAATTGATTTATGAAACTATATTGTGGAAGTGGAAGATGAGTTTTGAGAGCTGAAGATTGCGTTTGACTCGAAATCGGTATTATATAATATGTTTTCAAAATCTATAAGAGGTCATGGATCCAAATTTCATCATTTGCAACCAGGCTGTCTCCAGAAATTTAGAGACCCCAAACAATATTTTTAAAAGAGGCCCGTAATCGTAATTTTATATTTTTAATTTTTATCATTTGAACAAATAAAAATAAATATTGTCAATAATAAATACGAAAAAAACATGAATATAAGAAAATTTAGTAAATTAGAGTACAAAAATTTACAACCTTCTCGTCTTTTTTTGTACAAAATTATCAATCAAGTCACCATAATCAAGTTTCGCAACCATATTTTTTTTCAATGGATAACATCGTCAAACCATTCAATCTATCCTGAGACATAGTTGACCAAACACTTCAACTTCTACTACAGAAGTTGTAGGTTTTACGTACCTATCCATTGAACCGGCGAGAGATTTTGTTAATATCTCTTGCTTTTCTTTCTTTTTTTTTTCGAACTTCCCGATTCGAATTTGCGTTTGCCCGTCATAACTCGTCTAGCAAATCTGATCATAGAATGATAGAATAATGTAAGAATAAAAGCAAATCTGATCATAGAATGATAGAATAATATAAGAATAAATTTATTTACAATATTAAATAATTAAAAATACAGTCAAATACCAATAAAAAGAAAACACAGATTGGACAACTAATAAATTTATTTACAATATTAACAAATTTGATCATCGTTTGATTTATTAAAAACAAAGAAACTATACATCAATATAAGAAAACATAAACAAATACACAAAAAAAAAAAAAATGATTACAACTTATGCATGTCAGTTGGAGAATTCAGACTTTGAAAGAATCAAGTGGAACAAATAAACAAATTTGTATAAATGTTGCTTGATTGTTTCAAAACTAATATATTCTAATTGAGGTGACTATCACTATGATACGTCAATTAAAAAGTTAGCAAAAGAAATTAATATATTCTAATTGATCTAAATCTTCAAGATGGAACAGATTACAGATATTATCAAAGTTGCCTCACTGCTTCAAAACTAACAAAATATCAAACAAAGATTTTTCGAGTTTCTTTCTTTTTTCTTATTTATTTATTTTCAAAGAGGCAATACGTACTCAATTTAATTTACACTGCTTGGAAAATCAAAACCTAAGCCAAAGGCAGTTTGTTCTTCGAATTATAACAATTATGAATTATCATGCTAAAAAGTAAAAAAACTATGCTCTGAACTCATAAAAACTTACAAAAACAACAAGATACACCTACATAAGTTCCCTTCAGCCCAATTTAATCATGTGCACATGAAGCTTAAAAAAAAATAAAAAAATTAAAACATGTACCGAACTAGAACTGTAGAACACAGAGACGGATAATATTTAGAAAATAGAAGAAGTTCCTACCGAATTGATTGAGAAGCCTAGCGGCGGCGCTCGAGGCGGTTGTAATGAGGGCGGAGAGATTTGGCCGTCGAGTAACTACGGGAATTTGCAAAATTGGGGTAAAATTTTGTAAAGTGCAATTGCAAGTGATTAGTGAAAGTCTTGGCAGACAGGGAGTAGAGTAGAGCCTTTACACTTTTATGTAAATAAATGGGCCAAGCCCAACAGAAATATATAATACACCCCAAGAAAATGAGGCCCTAGGCTGGAGCCTTGTTTGGCTGGCCCAAGAGCCGGCCCTGTTTGCAACCCGTTTTAGTTCTTTTTATTACATTTAGTGTCTTTTATTTTTATTATTTATTTGTTTCATATTTCAATTAGGGATGAGCTGTTGGAAATTTTAACCTTATGCGAAAACCGTTTTATCTCATAAGCATTCATATTGAATAATTGAGAATCAAACCGAATAACGGAAGCGTACCTGAATTCATAGTTTTGAGAATATCGTGTTCTTCAGTTTGCTAGAGTGTTGTGTTCTTCCAAACGATCTTGTTAGACTGGTATGGTCTTCCAAACGATCAAAACCTTATAACAGATTGTCTATACTATATATAGTATGTTCTTTATGTATGTATCCCACACGTTTTTCTCAATTGAAGAGGATGGTGCTTTTAAAGGGAGAAAGCGCCTCTTCGAAAATCTGCTCGTACCTTTTCGTCGTTTGGGGCCATAACCAAATAAATAAGAAATATTGGTTTTCAGTTCGGTCCCTCAACAAATAGAAAATCCCATAATGGTATCTACACTTTTAAATCCATAACAATTTGATACTCTTTATTCAAAATTACAAATTCGTAGATCACTTTATATTGAATAATATTATGACAACTATACACATTTAATTTACATATGTTGTCCAATAAATATTTCTCACAATCTCCCACTTGGACTACATATGTAACCGAACAAATGTATATTACTTTATGAGCTCAAACTTTGTTGTCACAAACAAGAGTATCATTTACCAATCTTGTCCATTAATCGTAATGACATAGGACTAAAGAGGCATTCATCATTTCAAGCATGAATCAGCCCATCAATAATCACATATATCAATACAACTAAATGACATAGATCAATCATAGAAGTGTAGCATAAAAATTACATGTGATGTGATCTTTCATGCCTATTTTCAACTGGCCACTTTATGCCTTAGTGAGATCAATATAAATTATAGAGTATAATAAACCGAATACCTTATATCTGATCAGAAATATCCAAATACATTAATACAATATGTATATAGAACAATTTAATACAGACTCCCACTAAAACAAAATATCCTGAAAATTGTCATACCCTTGAACAGAATGTTCATGAAAGACCTTGGGTGTTAGACCTTTAGTAAGCGGATCCGCAATCATTGAGTCTGTCCAGATATGTTCTATAACAATTTGTCCACTCTGTATTCTTTATTTTATAACTAAGAACGTTATGTCAATATGTTTTGACTTAGTTAAGTTCACATTGTTATCGGAATATAGTACTGCTGATTTGTTGTCACAAAACAACTTAGTGGTCTTTCTACATTCTCAATAATGTGCAGCCCAGTGATGTTTTTGCATCTATATTCCATTATTGGATGTCTCATAACAAGCTACAAAATCAGTTGTCTTAACATCCACCAAAATCAGAATCACTATACCCGATGATCTCCAAATGATCTGATTTTTTATAAGTGAGCATGTAATCCTTAGTTCTCTGCAAGTATCTTATGACTCGTTTGACTGCTTTCCAATGATCTATACCAGATTTACTTAAATATCTATCCACTCTACCAATAATAAAAGATATACATAGTCTTGCAAAGACCCGAGCATACATCAAACTCCCACTGGATTTATGATACACACAATTATCAACATCTTTCGTCTCAAAACCAAATGAGATTACTACCTGATGAAATTAATGGTACCACTGACGAGATGTCTGTTTGAGTCCATAGATGGATTTCTTTAGTTTACAAACAATTTTCTTTGGGTCATCGACCTCAAAACTTTCTGATTGTACCACATGGATCGTTCCATCAATGCCACCATTGATAAACGTCGTATTTATATCCATCTAATGAAATACAAGATCAAAATGTGCTACTGATGCCATATAATCACTTTCTTTCAAGTCATTATTGTCTTTATTTTCTTGAAGAAAGCATAATCATCCGAAATAGCATTCCTTTAATCTCAAGTGATTCTCCTTGGCATAAGTTATTGAGGTTGTTGAGTTTGTTCATCCCGAATAACCAAACCGATTCGGATCTTAATCCATGGATCCATTCTCTGAGTTGAGAGATTCTTGATATTATCCTGTTGAGGTTCCAAATCTACTTTTCGACTAATTACATAAATAGAGACCTTCACATTGTAAGAAGCAGTAGTAGGAATCAAAAATTATTCCTCCTCAAAGTTAATTTCTATAGCCTTATTTCTCCCTCAAACTCAACATCCTCGAAAATACTGCATTTGTCATCTCAAATATAGATCTTTAGCGGGTTAAAAAAAAAGTTAAAACCCTTGAGCTTACGAATATTGTTGGTATTAGCAGAGATAGAAGTACTAGATGTCGTCATAACTTAACAGAGAATAGTAAAAACTTAATAAACATGTTCACATCAATCATATAAATTTAAATAAGTTTAGTAACATCTCAAGGCACCTAACACAACACTAATATCAAGTCTTTGGACAGTAATATTAATTTGTAAGTGGTCGCCTTTGTGTAGTAATTAAATATTAACAAAACTCCTGTCAAACAATAGTCTTTCTTTTGAAAAACATATTGTCCACATGGATATAACTATATATCGTCACATATTTACCATCACAAGTATTAATATATTTCTGCTAAGTATTAATCTTCCTCTGGGCCGACTAAATACTCGCATGAAAATATACAAATACAAACATCTAAAATTCTCGACAAATAAATCTACACAAGAGAGGTCACTTTTGCAACTTCTTGTTTCAAATATTAGACAAATTTCAAATAGGAACATGAGATGTACCAAAACAAATTTAAATGAAATGATTGAAACATTTATTTATACATGTGCAATTATTAAATCAATTCACTATATTTGCACAATCAATAAATAAATAAGTTGTAACTAAAATGAATCCTCAATTAATAATATAATGAAATATCAGAGACATATAAAAAATATGTAACCATATTAACTAAAAGTATATTAGCCGAATGGGTGAGCTTGCCATTAAACAGCACGCCGGTCAGCAGCGCGGGTTCCATTCCCCAAAGGCACCAAGTTTACAGCCCTTGTTTTTTTGTTTTTTTTTAACACATAACTAGTACAGTACCGGTGCGATGCACGGGGGGTTAAAATCTCCGTCCCTTTTACAAAGCAAATTTAAATTAAAAATCAAAGTACGTAGTAAAGGAAACATCATGTCATTAATAAATAATAAACTAATAAATATAA